AAAGAAAGAATGCATCATGGTAAAGGGATGATGCATCACAACATACAGACTGATATTCTACAGTTTCAAAGTGAAACCTTCTTGAAGTAACTACTCAGGTTATTGCAAGGAATAGTCTACAGTTGACAACTTCTACTAATAAAAGTGTAAGATAATTCTGCTCTCTATGTTCGCAGATGTTCTGGTATGGTCTCTAAGGAAATTCATACTTGAGTAGAATTATTCCTTATAAGTAAATATAGTCCTACAGCATTTTGACAGCTTCCACTACCAATTGTTTTGCTCTGAAAGACAAATGTCAAAATGCTGTAGGACTGCATTTACCTGTAAGTGCTTACAAACATCGCTCAAGCCAGTTGCATCTTGGGAAATGCTTTTATAGCTGTGGCAAATATCCTTTTGAGATCATGTGTAATTTATACTATTTTAAAGTATCAGAAGTTAAAATCTTATACAGGATAGTATCCTTATTACTATCTTAAGTGTTCTGCATGGTTTGTCAAGCAAGAATACACATTTGTTACCTTGCCTTTTAGTTTGGAAAAACATGCAGCTATTGGTTATTGTGACAGCTGGGAAATGTAAGTGCTCAACCCATCTAACTAATAAGTCAGTGTATGCACAATCGACATTTATTTTCTCTTAATATGAAAAGCCTATATATACACTGCTCAGCTGCCTCTTTTCCAGAAGCAAATAAACAGAAGGATGGATGTACCAGTTGCATTAGCACCAATGAAAATTAACCTTGCGCTGAATGTGGGAAAAGGTCAGTGTGTTCACCCAACTCCTCCCCAGCAACTGTATACAAACAGAATTAAAGCAAATACATAATTTCCACACACAACAGCATATATGCTTTATAAAAATGTTAAATATTTTGTCAATAATTTAGCTTAGTGAAGCTAAATTCTGTTAACTTTTGTCTTCGTAGGAAGAATTTACTTTGTTTAGCTGAGTCCAAGTTGACACTATGGAAAGCGTAATCCCATACTCCATGAATCATTTGCATCACTTCCAAATCACAATTATAATGTTGTTTTGGAAAACAGAGGATACAAATCTAATTATTTCCCCTACATGGTACATTATGGGATCCCTGTACTCTTTGACGCTATTGGCATAGAGTAATTACTGAAAAGGAGATAATTATGTAACTTCTGTTGTTTAAAGTGCAGGAACATCCCTTATCAATGCACGGCACTTCAAGGCCTGCATAGAGTAAGGCTATTTTATGTCACAGATCAATGAAAAAGTGCTTCAAATGGAGAAGTTCATATCAGAGAGCTTACATAGGAGAACTCACCTTCATTACTCTACAACTTTCCAAAACCATTTCAAACAATTTTAGTGTCTGTGGTTGCAGGTTTATACTATAGTAAAACCAGTCAGAATGCAAAGCAAATATTAATGCATCCTTAGGAAGCGTGACCTCTTAATTACAATGTTACCTCATCTATTACTCTATTGTTTCATAGCGTTTACAGGGAGCCTACATGGTCTTTCGCAGGGAGGTGCAAATGTGCTGCTGGCTGGCTGTGATTCAGCTCTAAATTACAAACAATACAGCCACAGTTCACGCCTCTGTCCCACGATTTCATCAGAAAGGCCCATTCAAAGTGATACACAAAGCCCTCTAAAGCTCTCCTCTCAGAGGTTTGTCATCATTTCTTGTCAAAACTGGGTTTCGTAGCTTGAGTCCTGTGGTAACCACAGCAACACAATTTCTGCATCAGAGTTCTGCTGCGTCCAGCCAGAAAAAGAGCCAGACTGAGTGAATTTACCTCCATCGTCAAAAGATTGTGTTGATATGACCTTGATGCAACCCCTTCCTGATTCATCTCTCAGACCCATGAACAGTACTCATCACAACTCATTCATAGAAGGGTAAGAGAGTAAAGGAATATGCCACTTTTTTGCATGGATTTAGTAGGGTTTATAAATTACTTCCACCAGCTAGTTCAAATTCCCCAACATTCCTGTAGTTTACCTTGTAATTTTGTTCTTTTTTATACAATCTCTCTTCCATGGAGCACTACGTGAAAAGGATGCTGCTGTACCCTCTACATCTGTTAACGCACTTCTTCATGAACAGCATTGTAATTCTGTGGAATTTTAACTTCTTAAACAGGGTAGGTAAGATAAGATGCATAAACTTTTTTTCTTTTCAATCCATCTTAAGAAAATGCAAACTAGAGCAATTCATGGGGACTGAAATTTCCAATACAATTTCCCATTTACCATATAAAGCTCACTTATAAGTCAATTGGTCTGAATGGTATAATTGCAGCTCACAGAGTGGAGGCATGTTGAGTGAAAGTCATTGCAGCAGTTGGTATACCAGCAGAGATAAACTGAAGAAATGGCAGTCCAAGGACTAGACTGGAGTCTTCTAGCAAATATTTTATCTAATTGCATTCCAAAACAAAAATCGTCTTCTATCTCTTTGTATGTCTTTGTAAGAAGCTGCAGTGAGTTGAGACTTTGTTCAGACCCACAATAGTCACAACGTCATTTGCAGGAACATCCACAAGCTCATTCAGTCTTACTCTCACAATTACAAAGAACTATGACTTTAATAGGATGAACTGCCTGGAGGTACCCACGTTTCTCCACTGACTGCAGAGGGAGAGGGTTTGACTAGGCGCCTAAATTGCACGGACCTAAGACCAGGTGAGGTTAATGCTCTGATGACATTGAGGTGGAAATGATAAGCATTACATTTACAGTATCAGTTCTTCCACAGATGAGGTCTACAATGGGTAAACAGAATGAAAGCATACAATAACACTTAATATGCAAAGTATTCAAAAATTACCCATCAATGTCTTTTATCTCTGCTTTTGTGCATATTCCCAGTCTCTAAATGCTAAGTGGTAGCATGGGACTACTTCACGTTAAATTTAAAGTACATGCTGAGTTCCAGTACGCACAGTCAGCACTCCAGCACAGTTTCCATTTTCAGCACATTTCAGAAGACGTGAACTGGTTGACAAAAACCTATACCATAATGATCTGAAATCTAGTAGCACCAGGAACGAATGAAAGCCGGAGACTTTTGCTCAGCTCTGAAAAGGAAGTCAGAGCTCTAAATGTTCTGTCCTACCTTACCACAATTCGGCTGAAATGGATGGGCAGGGAGACATTTTCTTCCACCTTTCTGAGTAACTTTTGTGAAATCAGCTGATCATCTTAGTATCCTAATCAAATGTCCAACGCCAGAAAAGTTGCCATTATGACTGACAACGTTCTTATGAGACAGAGACTTCCCCCTTACCTGCCACATGTGACTGCAACACCTCCAAGACCAGTTTGATGCTGTTGGCTACAGAATTTAACTCCAATAATTTCACCATTTTTGTACCATGTATGTGTGTATGCATGAATATTTGTATGTAGAAATATGTCTCTGTCTGGCATTGTTTACAGGCCCTGGAAACCCCTTCTTCTCTGCTGGTTTTGTTGTTTGTATGCTATCAAACAACATCTTTGCAGAAGCAAATCTCAGCATAAAACTAGGGTATTTAATGGCTAACCAAAGAGAATTTCTATAACAAATGGATTCCAATATGATACTAGTTTACAATGAAGGCTTTATATCTCTGAGAATTTCAAATTGTCTTGAGCAGAACATAGATTTTTCTAAGATAGGGTTAACATGAGATTTTTTGTGAACATTGGTGTGTTCTTCAGGCTTGAAATTCAGGAGTGATCTTACCTCTGTTTCCTTTGCCAGACAACTGGCACAACCACATTGTCACTAACCCCCCTTTGCTTATGCAGGCTTTTATACTGTAGCTGGGTGAGCTGGGAAAAATCCTCCACAGAGCTCTCATCTGTCTCTTACTTTTAGCTTTTATTCCCAAAGCTTAAATGACTGAAGATTTTTTTATTATTATTATTCCTTTGGACTTGAAATCACCAGTAGATCTTATCTTTTAGATACAGAGTCTGTCAAAAGTTTGTGCTTGCTGGTAGTTCCACTTCAAGAAACAAAAAAAGAATTTCTGACTTTGCAGCAGATTGAAAATATATTACCAAGCTCAGGCATAGCATAGCTTGGGTGCAAAAACTCCAGTGACAATTGCAAGAGAAATAAAATATGTACTTAATCATCCAGGGAGCCTCACTGAGTTTCACTGATTTTTGATTAAGCAGAACAGACAGATAAACACAACTAACATTGTCCTTCCAATCAGTGGCCTCTGCATGAAATCAATGCTTCTGTATTACACTGGAGTTAAAAGGCCCTTATCAAGAGAAAATTCTTATTTCATGAAAGACCTACTGTGCTTGTGTTATTCACAATGTATTTCAAAATTCTTGCTGTTTAAATCACGGGCATTTTGCAGACATAGAAGGGCTGTTATTGGGTTTTTTCCCCATAATCGCTCTTCCTGTTGCTTCTAATATAACAGCCATTGTAAATACTGTCAATGGGTCAATTTCGCTCTCACTTAAAAAGTCCACTTAATCTTCCTAGGCTCCATGAAAAGCTTTTTGGCTCGGTATATGATGCAGGAACATTTTTTAAGAAAGAGTTTCAAGGGGAGGGTTTTTTATTTTTTAATTAAGTTTTTACACAGGATAAACATCATTCTCAGTGACAGCCTGCCCAATCCCTATGCTTTATATTAAGGAATGTGCAAAGGACTTTGAAATTGTGCATAAAGGTTGAAGAGGTTGAACACTAGTCCCAGAATTTAGGTGGATCTGTGGAAACCTACAGGAGTTACTTTTCCATTACTGTGGAAAGTTCCATGGAAGCTCCATTTCCAGCAGTCAATGGCATCAAAAGTTTTCATACTCCATCAAGCCATTTCTTCCTTTCTATATTATTCAGCAAGAATAAATATCCCACTTCCATATGTCACAAATTCAGCTAAGGTGACCTGCAACTTTGTGAAATCCACTTCCCTATATTTTGAAAACCTGTAAAACACACTTCACATAATTGCAGTCTCAGCTGCACCATAAAACATCATTTTTTTGCCACATACCTTTTTTTTGTTGGTGGGACAGATGTAGAAATTGTCAATAACTGTGGAAATCCCAGGCTGTAGATTCAACTTTGTGTACAACGTCCCAAAATCTGAGGACCTGAAAGAAATCAAACGTGTAAGTGCTCTCTTCTAAGGGCTTCAGCATCGAAACTCCGCAAAATAACCCCACTTTGTAGCAGTAACTATTCCTTTTCAATGCTTCTCTGCCATCCTTTTGTTCTTTTCAGTGCTCATTAGCAGAAAGAAACTAAAAGAAACCTACCACTATTGAGAACATTTTTCTAGATTTGAAAGAACATGGCTAGTTCTGTCTGTATTTTGCAGTTCTGTGCAGTGCTAGTTTTCATCCTGACACTGCACTGTGCAGTCACAGAAGCACAACATGTACACCTTTCCATCACCACCCACAAGGTGGGAAAAAAAAAGCTAAGCAGAGCAAAGGCTATTGGCAAGTACTAACAGCACCTCCTCGGCTATGCGGAAATAGAAGACCTAACTTCAGAGCCTGGTGTCGCATGAGAGAATGATTTGGCCTGAGATCTCGAAGGCTCGCGATGGACCTCTACCAGAATTCATACTTGATAAAGCTATCTATCCACTCGTCCAGCTCTTTTTAAGAGAATCACTAAATTTTGAATGAACAAAAACAAAGTCAGGACTTGGTCATCAGTACACCATAAGCATGAATCTGAATATTTCAAATGTGGGCACTCAGCAGAAATTGTTTCTATTTCTGATAAAACTATAGTGAAAAATGGCATCCATGCTTTGCACCTGTATCAGCAATGTCTACTATGAAAAGAACACACAAGTAAAATGTTAATATAGGAAAACATTAGTTAGCAAAACTTAAAGCAAGTCACATCCAAAATTGAATCACTTTGGATGAAGCCTCGATTGTTCTATATAGGTTCAACTTGCACCATATGGTCTCTCCATATTTACAGTTTTTCCTTTTGCATTTGGAAGGGGACTCAGACACATTTAAGGCACCTCTCCCTTCTTCACCAAGAAGCCTTCCCTAAGACAGGTGGTGGGTGGGAGAATTTCCTCCTTATACTCCCTTTTTTTCACTAGAATAACAATCTCCTTTAACAAACAGGGATGAAGGTGCCCTGCCCGGTACCTCTGCATTATTTGAACAATTGGGAACACGCAACAGCTCTCATGTCCAAGAGAACCAGGATGAGACCTCTGTCCCTAGTGTGACACTGAGGATTGCCTATGCAGTGATTTCTGCCCTTTAGCTCCACGTTCATTGCTCCCCAGTGGGCTCTGTTGTCTCACACTCTTCACCCAGGGGAGTCACTGCCCAAATTCGTAAGAACATGACTGAGTACAGGAAGAAAGAAAAGTGATAAGCCAAATCCCTGGCTGAGTGTGTACACCTTGACAGGTGGCTCACAGCCTGAGGTCTCCTCCAACCCACCTGAGGCAGAAAGGTCCCCGAGGGGCTGGTGCCTGGAGCACTGTGTGCCCACGCTGCGCCCGCCCGTGTCCCAGTCCCGTCAAGGATGTCACTTAAGTCAGAGGGCATGCGGTACGAAGCCAGAGGCGGCTACTTTGCTTTCACACATCCAGCTTTCCATGTGACACAACAACTTTCAGCTGTGGTCATGAGGCAGCATTCTATATCTTTGGCATCACCAAGCATATTGGGCACAGAATTACATACCTGGATTAGGTCCTAAGGGACACCAAGTAAAGAAGCATTCGTATTCACCTTGCTTTTCTTGCCTCTCTACCAGTCAAAAAATGACTGGGCAGAAGCCTATGATACAGACAACACTGACGGCCTGAAGTTAAGAGTTTACCTATTTTATACTGACATCTGAATGGATTTGATTTGGGTTTTTTTCCCCCCATAATGTTGCTTCACCTGCAGATATACAGCAATGTATTACAAAAGTTAATGGAATCATAGCAATTCAGTTTTGACAAATAATTGTGTAGAAATCAAATACATATAATTGCACTGCACTGGGTATTCAGCACCCAGCAAATTACAATTCTAAGGGGAATAGGATGGACAGTGCTAAACCTAATTTGCCGGAGGTGTTTGACAGAAAAGAAATTAAAGCAAAGACTAAAATACTGACTTCAGCCAGATGTAATGAAATCATTCAGAACAAGTATGTATGATGGAAACAGAACCTACTGTATTCTCTTTGAGGACGGACCATCAGGTCAGTGACTTGCCCAGTAATAATATCCTGAAATAATTCTCTGAACCTTAAAGATGACCCAATTTACTTTGAGGAAGCAGTTACAGGATTAATACAATGGGACCACTGGAGAGTGACACTGCAGGAGGGACAGTGATGGCGACTATATCAAGGTATGAAAAGAGTACAGGCAGGAAGCTCAAAGAGGATAAGCCATTTCAAAGATAAAATGTTCCAGTCCAAAACTTCCTCTTCTAATTCTCATGACTTATAAAAAGTACTACAAGAAAAAAGTTGTAACAAAAAGAGTACAGTAAGGTAACTAAGGTATTTTCAGGCAAAGGCAGAAAACATATATAGTCAAAAATCTTTTATTTTCTGGTAAAAATTAGCTATCTCAAGGCAAAAAACAATAAAAAATATTCCAATCTGAGACAACAGGCTAATGCAGAGCCATAAAGGTACACCATGTCTAAGCAGGAAGACCTGGATTGGCAGAAGATCTGTGGATCTATGGAGAAATTTATCCAGACTCCCAAATCTCTTTTACTATAATCCAGCCTTGAGGGAGCCCAGGAGTGTCAGCTACTCTTTGAGACATTTAGATACAAGAGGACATAGTTCAAGGACATCATTCAAGGGAAGCACTGTCTAAAATAATTGGTTTTCCAATTCTGCTATAATCCAGAGAAAAGAGGTCACTGCATTTTTTTTATTTGAGATATAAATTCCAAGTTCCTGACTCTGCATATACAAAGCATTAACATTTTGTAGCACACAGTTAGAACAGAATTCCCTGTAATTGTACTAGTGCGCTACACACAGGGCTGGGAAGGATGAATTCTGGGATCTCACAGCATGCCTATTTCAAGAATATATTAAGAAGAAGCACAAAATGTGTTTTATAGCAAATTCAGGAGAGAAGGAGTGCTTTGTGCTCTTCCAGTCATAAAGAGATTTTTTGTGTGTGTTAAAAACCAAGTTTGTGCTGTGTCGAAAATGTTAAGGAGAGGAAAAACAAAAAAAAACCAACAAACCACAAATAAACCATCTGTTTATCAGGATAAATATATTACCTTTCCTCCCTAAAAAAATCATGAAAAGATATTTCAAGGTATAATGGAAAGAGGATACCCAAGTATCTGATAAGAAGAGTAAAACATCCTTCTATAGCATGGTCTATTTGAAGTGGCAGCACAACAGCAGAACACCATAAACCAGAGCAAGAAGTGTAAAGTCTGATTTCTTAAAATGGGCCTGACCTGCAGTTCTAAGTGACCTGGATGGAGCTTGTGAGCATTTTGGCTTTCTGTGAGACATTCCAGGGGACACAGCAAGCTATCCACAGGCTGCTTCCTGCTGCTGCTGATCCACCTGGGCACTACAGGCTACAGATTGTACAGACATTTTTTAGCAGAGCAAAACTCAGTGGAGGACTCATAGGAAACACATCTTCCAGTACTCAGGTGATGGGCCATTCAAAAGCAGTAGGACCATCGGATGTTGGAACAACATGATTACTCATGTACTGATACAGACATAGCACAACCTGCTTGGGCTGTGGCTGGGTAACAGCTTCTTTGAAAGCGTGTACACCTGCTGAAATATGTGCCTTTCTTTTTTTTTTCTTCAAGGAAAAATCACTTGTCGCTGTAACAACGGCATATTGACATAATCATCAAAATCAAATGACGATATTACAGCACAGACAGAATTATGTCTTTTTAGCTTGTTTTAATACCGTGAGCTCAAATGACACTTGGGAAAACTTCCAACTGGTACAGAAAGGTACCCTGATGGAACAAAACTTCCAAAGCCCATAAACTCTGAGGAAATTTGGGTCTCGTCCTTAAAAATGTAACTTTTTATATTTGAGCTAAAATAAATTTATGCCTAACATAATTTGGAACTGTACCTAAATGTTGAGTCTGGACACCTGCCAACAGAAATATTGAGAAAGAAGAAGAAATTTAACAGATACCAAAAGAGACAAGAACCAAATGTTTGCCTGTCTAAACTTCACTATCGTTATACAGCTCTCCACTGATGATTCACACTTATGATTCAGTACTGCTGTTAGTTATTTTTCCGGATTATATTTACAACTATATATTAAATATATATATAAGAAACATTAAAATGTAGATAGTAAGATGTTAACGAAAATTTTTAGAGAGATGAAAATTGCATGCCCAAGTCAAATTTAATACTCAAAGAAAATGTCTACTGCAAATTCTTCCTTCCCTGGTGTCTTTTATTTTTAATGAACTGAAGAGATGCACTGGAAAGAGAATGGTTGGAACACTTAACACCCATGTTCAACGGATTTCCTCTACCTTTTCTTCTTAAAGATTAACTCAAGCTTTATTCTAGCCAAATAAGCCAGCCTGTACAAGCCCTATTAACTGAAAATCCTAGGAGACAACAATGAAGAGGGGAAAAAAAACCAACCCAAAAAACATACGAAAGAGCTGCTGGTTTAGATTATTGATAAATTGTTGAAACAAAAATAATTCAACTGAGATGCACATTACAGAATCAAGGCAGAGTGTATCTGTGGGTAACACTCACTGGACTTCTTCCCACTTCTCCAGACTGTATTGCAAATGTCTTCTCACCTTCCCCTCATCTTGGTCAGAAGAACAATCCAGTATTTACACAATGAACTTTAAAGTGCAAGAGAAATTAATTCAGGTTCTTGTTCTATCACAGACTTATGTCTAACGCCAGGATTTCCTTTGTGTTCTGGTCCCTCACCTGAAAAATAGAGACAACACTATCTCCTATACCTCAAGTGTCTGCAAGGAAAATAGGTATCTATAGGACAGTAGAGTAATGAAGAACTAGCTGATGGAGTATCTAAGACAGATACATCTGAAGTTCCAACAAACCTACTGAAAGGGAAGTAACCAGAGGAATATCATTAAAGAAG